TGTATTTCTCTAATTCTAGTATTTCCGAGGACGGAAATATTTTAAGGGAGATAGATTGTAATATCCCAGTTCTGTATTAATAAAAATGACAGTTTTTAGTTCCCAGTTGAACTATTTCTTTTATTAATACTGCTCGTCTTGAGTTCCGAGCGCAGTTATCAGCTATTCAATCTTAGTTATTAATTCCGGTCCATTTATTTTAGTAATGGATTTTTTTTAGTCGGAATTAATTATTTTAGTTGACGAATAAGCGAAACCGAGTTTGTTTCGATAAATCGTCCAAGTCTAACCGTGTCCGGAACCGAGTCGTTCGGTCACGAGTATCGCGCCTAGTTCGCGCCTAGCAAATTCTCGAGCCCTAGTAGTCTCGAGTCTTGTTCGAGCCCTAGCCATGCTCTTAGCCTTACTTAGAATATTTCTATGTATGAGATCATGTTTGTCAAGCCTTGGATGTTATTCTCTCGGTCTAGTATACCACACCTAGTTCGTGCGTGGCCCCGAGATCACTCGCGCCTAGGGTTCGCGAGTTCGGGCCAAAGCCGTGCTGAGTTCGCACCAAATCATGACCAAGTATTAAGGGGATTTTTCCTAGGTCTGGTGGCACCTTAGTGTGGCCATTTTTCAGCCATAGGCAAGGGTTAGCCTCCGTCTAAGTGTACACCGAGCCCGGGCTATGAGTCGGGCCCTAGTGCCCGCACCCTAGCCTCGCGCGAGTCAAGTATGGTGGCCCAAGTCATGGCCAAACACCTTTGGAATTTTCCTAAGTGTGGAGAACTCTTTTTCCAGCCCTAAGCATGTGGCATAATCGGGCCAAGTGTTTTTCTCGCGTGCAGCCTGGGCCAGCAGTTCTCGCGCCCAGCTCGCGCCCAGGCCCCGTGCCGCGACAGCCCAGACAGCCCCCAGGGCCCAGCAGTGCCCAGGCCCAGCGCGGGAAGCGCACCAGCCCACTTCTTGCGCCCAACTCCATTAATTCCGGCCCACTTTCCTCATGACCCAAAAGTGGCGAGTAATTAGGACATAATAAGGGTTTAATTAAGCTTAATTAACCCTAATGAAGTTTAAGCCTTAAGCACTTTCAAGTGAGTCCAAATGTGGACATGTGCATGGAATATTTTAATGCATGTGTTGTTGGATTTGTCCCCCACTACCTCATGCATGGGACAAGGCCTGACCCAAGGCATATTTTAGTCCAAGATGCCCTGCAAGATGCTCCCAGAATCCGTGCCATACCTGTCCCCAAGGCTCCTCCATGTCACGCCAAGCCCTCACCCTCATGCATGCGCTTGTGATGTTTGGTGTTCCCCTTGGGCACCTTGTAACCTCCGTCCATTTGCACTACTTAAGGGATGTCCCCATCATTTCCCCAACTCTTGGACACCTTAAACACATAAGAGATAGTGAGGGAAAAGTTGAGAAACCGAGAGCAAGCCCAACCCTTTGCCGCGCGCGCGTGTGAGCCCGGGTGGAGGAGTTTGATAGGTGCACCTTGTTCCAGCCATTTTCTCTCGGGGCTCAGCCACTCCATAGTGTTTTGTGTATTTTTAGGAGTTCCCAGAATCCATCATTTGCAGCCAATAGTCGTTGGAACAAGTCAAAGCTCGAGGAGCCGCGTGTAGGCACTAGTGGCGGGCATCACCACCATTTTCGAGTTTGAAGGAGGTTAGCTCGTGACTTTCATTTTTCCTAGCTTATTCATGATAAAATAAGATTTATCATGTACAAAAATGATGCCATGCATGAGAAGAATATGGAGATTTGGATTTTTGAAGATTTAAGCCCTAATTTCGTAAGTTATGGTACATGCATGATATGGCCGAGATTAGTATCTTAAAAATCCTCAAAAATCATGAGTATGACATGGTTAAAACAGTTTCATGCTTTGAGTTCATTTGTTCGGTCAATTTGTTAAGTGAAATCGAGCCATTTTCACCCCCGAACCTAAGTATATGTGCATGCATGTATTGACCAATGTTCTAGCCTCATTAGCCATGATTTTTGATGTATATCATTCGGCCCTAGGTCAATTTTCATGTTGAGCATGTTCATTTTTGTGCCCTAGGGTGGCCTCGTGCCTAATCGGCCCTATAAGCCCACCACCAAATCCAACCGAGGTCCCTCAGTGACTTTTGGCATTTTTGAGCATTTTATGTCATATTAGGTTGATTTGGTTCAGTAGTCCCCGGCAAAGTTGCCGGAAGTTTGGCAAAGGACCGGCTAGGGTCACCAGCCGCGCCAGTCGCGCGTGCCGTGCCCGTGCCGCGTCGCAGGGGCCAGGCAGTGCCCCTGTCCGTGCCCGCGTCTAGCGTACGCGAGGCACAGCAGCCCCCAGTGCACGCGACAGCGCCCAGCAGCGCCTGTCCGTGCCAGCCCGCGAGGTCTCAGCGCCAGTCGCGCCAGAGCACCTCCGACAGCGCCCGGCAGCGCTGTCCCAGTGTCATGCACGCGTGATCCCGAGCCAGTCGCTCGTACCACGCGGAGTCGACCTCGGGTCGTGCCAGCAGCGCACCCGAGTGTCCAGTGCCGTGCTGTAGTGACCCCGAGTCAGGTCCAGAGGCCTCGGGACGTGCCCAGCAGCACGCCCGAGTAGTCAGTTGGCCCGGGACGTGCCCAGCAGCATGCCCGCGTGCCCAGGGTCGCCCGGTAGCACCCTGACAGCCCTAGCCGCGCCCGAGCCGCGCGAGTAGTGTCTGGCCACGTCCGTTCTCGCGCCAGTCGCACTCGGGTCGTGCCAGCCGCACGCCCAGTGCCCAGTCAACCCGGGTACGCGCCAGTTCCCGCGTCCCTCGTGCTCGACCGTGCCCAGCAGCACGCCAGCACACCCAGTGACTCTCGGTCGTGCCCAGCCGCACCTAGTGGCACCAGTTGTGCCAGGGCCCGTGCCAGCCGCACAGCCCGCGCCAGCAGCGCCTAGTACCGAGGCCCGGTCGCACCCAGCTCGTGCCCAGCGCCGTGCCATGGCCCCAGCAGGCCCGGCATGGGACCGAGCCCGGCCAGTCCGAGCAGCCCGTGACCACCCGGTCCAGTGTGAACCGGTGGTCCAACCCGGTCCGGTTCTGCCCGACCCGGTTCAGCCAGTTAGCGAACCGGCCGGTTTAGCCAGCGGTTCGAGTCTGTTTTGGTTCGTGATTTTCGGTCCGAGTCTTATTCCGAAATTTAAGTATATTTTCGAGCCAAACCAAATCAGTTAAGCATATCAGTATAAATGTCCGGACTTAGAATTATTTCTGTGAACCCTTAGAGCGTTCCTTGATATCCGGATGAGTAATCTGATAGAGTAGAGCATCCCAGCATATTATTGAGCATATGACGAGCATAGTACTTAGTATATTTGTTTGCTTATATTTTTATGTAGCTGGAGGAGTCAGCTACCAGCACAGCCGCACTTACTCATTTTCAAAACCGATCAGGTGGGGACCCAGTCTGGGTTATACATTGAGTTTAATAGTCGATATCATGTTCAGGTATGTATATGAGTTTTATCCACTTTGGGTTAAGTCCAAGTTTGCCTTCCCTAAGTTCTGGTGGTGGCCCAGTTTGCCCTAGTTATACCACCAGAGTGTGCACACGGTTACCGGCCAGAGAGTTCCGGGAGTTACCGGCCAGAGAGTTCCGGGAGTTACAGTTTACTTATATATACCAGTTTGTGATATCATTATTAATATTGCTGTTTACTTTAGAATGGGTTTTTATAGAGTACAAGTGGACCGTACTCACCCCCACTTTATATTTTCAGATGACAGGGTCGGCGGGCAGGCGTGAGACGAGCTGTGGTGGTGGTGGTCGTGAGTTCCGCACGAAAGCTGTTCCCGGGACATTTGTTTAAACTGTTGTGTAAACTATTATAACCACGTATTTCAGACTTCCGCTATGCTTGTGTTTATTTTCGAACATGCATAACTTTATTTCAAGACTTAAATAATTTTACCCGGTTCGCCAGTACGAACGGGTTCAGACTAATATGCATGATTCGTAAAAATATAAACCTGAATTCATTAAGTCTAAACCAGTCGTTAGACCTAGGTTAAAGAAACGGGTTTTTAAGCAGAAAAGTCCTTAGCAGCATCCCGAGATAGTTTGCAAATGATTTCGAAAAATTTATAAGCGTTTTCGAAAGAGTTAAAATTTGCGAAAATTTGGCCCTAGTTAGCGGGGTGTTGCACACAGAGTGTGTATACCACCCAAATATTCTATCGTGTGCAAAATGAAATATGTGATACGTGCTTCAAATGCCAAATAACGCAGATTTCAGAAAATGAAGGTGTTATGACATTGGTGATAAAGGACATTGATGGGAAAATGTTTACGGTTATGCACAACATGGGCCTGAACTCGTCAGCTCGTGTAAACATTTTGAAATGTACGGGTGGCTATGTAGGCATGTCTTTGTTGTGTTGAAAAACTTGAACATAGATGTTATACCGCCTGCTCACATCTTATCGAGGTGGACGAAACTTGCTATACGCAATCTCATGTTCAGGGTTCTTGATAGTGTTACAGAACAATGTGCACAAAATGATGATATGAAGTTCATGGTGAACAAGCTTTGGTCAGACATTCATGTGTGCATGGGATTAGCTGAGTTGGATATGGACCATCTTGTCGAGTTTTTTAACTCATTGAGGAGCACAAACACAAACTATTGATCGATCAGGAGGGTAGTTTATCAAAAAAGGACCGGGAAAAGAGGTTTGACTCGTTTGTCGGGCTGACTGCCCCAAAAGTAATAGAGGTTCATCCTCCGGCACAATCGAAAAACAAAGGTCGTGGAAAGAGGATGAAGAGCAACAAGGAGAATTCGATTGTGGCATCACAGAAAAAAAGAAGACTATGCAAGACATGTGGTGAGAGAGCATGACACAATACACGTACTTGCCCTAAAAAGGATATGTGTGTAGTAGCACCTTCCACGACTAATGAAGGTAAACACCATTTGATCAATATTCATATGACTTTTGTAGCTGCACCCACAAATTAAATATTTATTTATATATTGTACTTATTTATTCATTGTAAACTTGTGCATTGCAGTAGAGTGATAATTGCGCGAATGTGATGGCACTCATTGGTACAGTTGGGTATGTTGGGTATGTCGTGCACATTGTATGCACATGCACGTGCTTCAATACTTCTTAAAATTCATGAGTATATACTGATTTGAACAAATTTGAAAATGCAGGAACGAAAATCTATACGCAAGTCTTACGCTGCACATGGAATCGTATCAGGAGGTTTCGACTAAATATATTATTAGAAGATTTCGACCACGTCATCTATTCTTATAGTTTAACTAGATTCATGAGTTATATTTTTTTACGTCCATCGTATTGTTTCATTACCTGTTACTACTGAGAACATTTCATTATTGTTATAGCAAATTATTTTTATTTTACTGAGCACCGAATCGAATGATTCGTTTCCCGAGTCGATCTCTCGAGGAAGACGGTTCGGAATTTAGAAATGGTATTGATAACACATAAAAGGAAAATAAATCCTAAACATTCTAATCAAAAGATTGGTTTTTGATTATTAACTAAGAAATAACATAAACATAAATCTACCTAAAAATATAAACGATAAAAAGATAAACGAGCTAGGGTATCGGGAATAATCGCTTCCGGTTCTACACACATTTAACGGCAATTAATAACTCAGTGAAATGGTTCGATTATCTAACTCATTTAGCGGTTTAACCTCACTAACTCTCGCAATATGAGGATAAACATAAACGAGCAAATTAATGAAACAATTAACACATAGACAATACGTCTCCGAACATGTCTACTCTAAACGAGCCAAATTCCACCAATTTCTCCCCTCTCGGTTTTGAAATCAATTATCTCTACGACTCCTCCCCTTTCGGTTCTAAAAGTCGCAATTCATAGAATTAACAAACTCTAACTCAACCAATCAATATTTAATCACAAATCAAAGTGTCACTCTTTGATTATATCAACAAATTAACCTAAGTGTCACTCTTAGGTTATGAAAATTTATCAAGTGTGATTTTATCAATTCATAATTAAAATAACTCGTCAAGATTGAGCTATCGTCATGCACATAAACGAGAACAAACCGGAATGATTATCCCTTAACCCTAGCTAAGGAATTAGCTACTCATTTCAATCTCAACATCAACATTCACATTTAACATAGCCATAATCATCATAAACACAATGAAAAATAAAACTTACTATTAATGTGAACTCCAATGTCAAGAACAAAATGCAAGCCAAGTCCAAAATGCAACAAGTCTTCCAAGTGTTCCTTCTCACAACATGAAAAACCAAGACAACACTAAAGAGAAAAATGGAGAAGAAGAAGAGGGAGAAGAGGAGAGAACCCCTCTAGGGAGTTGTGTTTTCAAGTCTTGCACTTCACCCCCATTTATACCACTTCATATCCAATATCCATACATAGTTTAAGGCATTATCATCACAAAACAAGGGGTAAAATGCTCCACAATCCCGACCATAGTGAATGTACCCTCAAAATAGGCCATAATGCATTAAATTGGGCAAGTAGTGGAGGTTTCCAGGCCCTAGCGCCGCTAGGACAAAAAATGAGCCTCAGAAGCCCGCTAGCACCCCCTAGAGCCGCTAGCTGGGGCTGGGTTGCATGACTTTGCGTTTCGGGCTGGTTTGGGCTCGTCCGAACTCGGAATTGAGTTCCGTTTTTTCCTATGCGTCGCTAACGAACCCATCTATTCAATGATACTTGAATGGCCAAATTATTCTTGAAATCATATTCTCCCAAAGCTCTTTACCTACACATTGAACGTGTTTCAAGCGACTTCGTGTTTTGGACCCGTCCGGACTCGTCCGAACTCGAAATTGGATTCCGCTTTTTCCTATGTGTAGCTAAGGAACCCATCTATCCAACCATGATTTCTCGACCCGTTTTCAAGCTAAATCGATTCCTGACGGGGCTTCCGACCTGGACACTAAAAACAAGAAGAAAAACGTAGAAAAACGACAAAATACACGAAAAACACATAAAAAGCCAAAATAGAACAAAACACACAATAAACTATAAAATGAACTAAAAACTAACAAAAAGACCTAAAACGGGAAAAAATGAACGACAAAATAGTACAGAAAAATGTAACAAAAATGGTCACAACATTTCCCCCACACTTAAACCTTTGTTCATCCCGAACAAAGAGAAAAGAAAACAAAACACGAACATGGGTACGGTTTCAAATAAGACATGTCTCAAAATGATTAACTCAATCGGGTCGAATTCCAACAACCGTACGACCATGTGCCTCAAACATCGACTTGGCCCTAAAATGACAAACTCTCAACACATAGATCATTATATATGCCTCACTCATTTTCTTATATGAATATGTGATGGGTTCGCTCAAAATTGGTCGATATTCACGTTTCAACATATGCTTGCCGATCGTCTAAATTACTCGGAATCAATTAAAGCTCAAAATTTTTGAATCAAGAGGACTTCTCGGGTTGCAATGTAGGATGTAGGTAAAGGTAGGATATATATATGGACAAGAAGCTCAAATAAACAATCAAAGTTCTCGAGTAATGAAATACTTGAATGTCCGCCACTCGACCAAAGTCAACAAGATAACATACATACCATCTACCAATGTCTCCACAAACAACACATAAATGCTCCAATCGAATTGCAATATTGCTTGACTTATTACACTTTTCTTTTTTTATTTAGGGAGTTACTATTTCTGAACAAGCTCGAATCGTAAGGGCAATATTCCTTAGGTTTAAACATTGGAGGTCATCCAAGTGTCCTAAGGTGGTTTCCCAATACTCATTACTCGTTAAAATGAATAACAAGTAAGCAGAGTAGAATCCCATCGATTCGTCTTACGAGCTCTCATATATATATATATATTTTTTTATTGTCAAGCATAAAATGCAAGTCGATTTCCACCTCATTCAATAACGACTCCGTCTTTACCAATCATCACATATATGTACGGCTGACAAGAAAAAGCTCAAGGCTCAAACAGGTTACTAGTGAATATAATTTTAGGATCAAAGAACAAGGCAAAACGAGCTAACAAACAAAACGCCTCAATCATTTTCGCAATTTGAAACTCTAACCGGTCCTTTTCAAATAAACTCAAGGCAAGTTCTAATCATTCGAGAATACGACCAATATCTCTCAAGAAAGAAAAGTAAGGATCAGAACCTCACAAGGTAAATAAATGTCACTAAAAGCAATCAAGTAAGTGTCGAGGCAATGGTAAATACGTCCGTCATCACAACTTCCCAATTTCATCAAACAATCATCAACAAGTCATATAATTCACCAGTACCACATGCTCGACAACACGGCAACCTAGATATTAGACCGGTCCACCATATAAGCATGCAAAATCCAAGTAAACTCCCCCACACTTAAAATAAAGCAATGTCCCCATTGCTTCCACACATAACCAGGAAGTTCAAATATCGAGACTTAGCAATTTCACATTATGAACCAATTTAGTATCAACACAATAACACAAAACTCAAAAGAAACCAAAACAAAAAAAGAAAAGGGTGTGCAAACCAAAGATGCGTCGATGAGGATAAGCGTTCACGTGCAATTCTTTCGCCCACGCCCAACCCGGGACTTTGATCTTCTTCTTTCAGCTGAATCGTCATGCTACAAGCTTGTCCATGGCAAGAGAATCACAAAACTCCAAACTCCCATTATTCAAAAATAAAAATGAACTAAAAGCATAAACGAAACACACAAGAAAGCAGTAAATCACTTGGGTTGCCTCCCAAGAAGCGCTTGTTTAACGTCATTAGCTTGACGAAACCTGTACAAATCAACCAGGATCCAGAAAGAAATGTCGATCATGCCACGCCTTTGTATTCTCGAGAAGCGGCAGCACGGGAAGGGTGGCATGATTGCGGACCTGGTAGGCTCGGGTGGCAATGTTCTTATAGATCCGAGCGTAAGCGCCAACGATGGTAACGAAATGACCCAGAGCTCTTCTTACCAAACCTCCACAGTCAACCTCTCTAAATACGAGAATGTCCGTGGAGCATGTCGAGCTAAATGGGGCCTTCTCGACGGTGCGGAGAGATGGCTCGAGTGAGGGACTCTCGAATTCGGGCACAAGAGTTTCCTCCATCAGGATATCACCCTCAATCTCTGGGAGCGCATTCTCCTCTTCTTCAGTCTCGCCCTCGTGAATTTGATTGACATGGATAATGGGCTCATCGACTTGTGGCTTGACAGACTGAGTGCGTTCTATTATGCCGTCAAGCTGCACCACCAACCGAGTGCATACAACCTCCATATTCTCTATTCGAGTTGTTTGGGCCGACATACAAGCAAGAATGAGATCGAATTTTTCATCATCCATCAAAGCGTTCCCCTGATGTTCATTAACTATGAGGGAATCGGGGGAAGATTTGTAAACTCGATCCTCCAAGACTCGAATACGTTCCGCTGGGTTCTCGACTTCGGCCTCAAGATTTTTCGTTCAGGTGGCTTGGGAGGTTAGAAAATCGAGAATCAAATCGAGCTTAGCATTGTCATCCGATGAGTCCACTAGGGACTTATATGATTGCTCGAAAGGTAACGGATACCACGGTTGCTCGTACGGGAAGGCACATGCCTGGCCATACTCCCTCGAGCCGTAGCTCGGCCCATTGTTCCAGTGAAAGGTTCGCGAGGAGGGGAACATGTTGCTCGGGTTCATCGATCCTACTGTCAAAATACCTGAACACAAGAATACAACAACCACGCGAAACTACGAAATATATATATATAATATTTTTTTATTTTTTATTTTTTTTTACAATTTTTTTTTAAATATACCAAAAACAAGAGAAATGGAAAATAAGAAAATCGAGAGAAAACACTGAAATTAAGCAAATATCACAAAAGTAAGAGGAACACGGAAAATAACACCAATATCAAAACCAAATATCCTACTTGCCTTCCCTGGCAACGGCGCCAAATTTGTTGTAGCAAATTATTTTTATTTTACTGAGCACCGAATCGAATGATTCGTTTCCCGAGTCGATCTCTCGAGGAAGACGGTTCGGAATTTAGAAATGGTATTGATAACACATAAAAGGAAAATAAATCCTAAACATTCTAATCAAAAGATTGGTTTTTGATTATTAACTAA